TCTCTCTCTCTCTCTCTCTCTCTCTCTCTCTCTCTCTAATGTGCATTAGTGTTTTGCCATGGGTTTCGGCTTCCCTGGAACTGGAGTTACAGACAGCTGTGAGCTGCTATGTGGGTGCTGGGAATTGAACTCAAGTCCTCTGGAAGAGCAGCCTGTGATCACTGAGTCATCTTTCCAGCCCCTAGAAGCTGCTTCTTGATGGCTCCCTTGTGTCCCCTGAACTCTGGGTCTCATAAAGAGGGTTCTGTGAGTAACACACTCTGTACCCTACCCCAATGCCTGATATTTCATAAATATTCCCTGAGTACTTACAGGAATTTTGTTTTTAATAAGGAAAAAAAAAACCAACCCCCCCCCCCAAAAAAAAGTCTTGGTTGGTGGTACTGCTTCTGAGGACCAGGCTGTGTATGTCACAGCCCAGAATTCCACTGAGTGCCCATCTCAAGATTCTCCAGGCTGTGAGTGTAGGCTGCCTTTTCCCATTCTCCCTCCTTGGGGCATGCACCTGGTCCTAAAAGCCACAAAAATCAAGAAGCTGAAAGGGACTGTAAACTGCATCGGGCTGAGCCAGGGCAGCCAACCATTCCTAATGTCCAGGAAAGCGAAGCCTGCAGTGTTCAGAAGGGGCTTCTCCAGGCTACAAAGCCTGGGCCACCTGTACTGGGGTTCACAGTTACATCCCTAGGTTCCCCCAAAAACCTTCCCACTCCAGCAGATGCTGTAGGCTCACTCTATTCACTCACTGCCTTCATAGCTTCTTAGAGGTGGCACCTGACAGGGCTGGGTGTGGTGATAGTGCCCTGGGTTAGGAACCTGGACCAGACTCTAGACACTGACTGTGGCCACCCCACACGTCTGCAGGGGAGGAGTCAGAGGCTCATGTCTAGGAGACATCTACACTCATGCGTGAACATAGTGAGCTCAGGCAGACACACACAGATACAACTGTGAACACAGGGCATGTACAGGCATTTCTCACACAAGGATGTGGGAACACACACCCGAGCCACACATGGACACACACATACCTACATATTCACACTGTAAATGGCAGGCTCGAAAGCCCGCCCACTTCTGGTCCCCTTCTTATCACAGCTGGTTTCGTATGCTAGCTGCCCTGGGCTCCGCTGTCCACAGGTGGAGGGGTCCTGACCACCCACTGGCGTATGTAGCTGCGAGGGGGCCCGTCATCACTCTCCACAGGGCTGCCACAGTCTGATCCTGCAAAGCCGCTGTCAAAAGTGTCCATGTCTAGACCCGGAGGGGAGCCCACCTCACTCTCAGAGCCCCCTCCTGGGGACCCCGTTCTCCAGGGTGGGCCTGCGGTCCAGTCCCTTTCCTGAGCAAGGGGCAGCCTCAACCTGTCCAGGAGGCTGCCTGGGGCACCTCCCAGCCTGAGGCCACCACCTGAGACACAGCCACAGGGCAGAAAAGTGGTGTTTGTGACCAAGAGCAGATCCTCTGCATTAGGGCCAGACTCTGGACCAGCATCCAGGTTCAGGGCTGGGTAGCCGTCATCCCCACAGCTATAGGGCCAGGCGCATGGTCCCTCTGCATCCCCCACAGTCACCGTGTCAATGGACACCAGACCATATGGCCGATCTCTCTCCTCACTGTAGGCAGAGTGGCCTGGGCCGGCTGCCAAGGGGACTGTGCAGCAGGGGCCAAGCTCAGACGTCCCATCACACTCCAACTGCTCTTCCAGGCCTGGTGGCCCCAGGAACTTCTTTTCCTTGGCTGGGTATGAGGGCGAACAGCTGTCGTGCACTTGTAGGACTGAGGTTGCTGTGGGACTCTGTGGTGTCAGCTCCAGGCTAGAGGCCGTGAAAGGGGTATCCACCCATTTCTATGAGAAAGAGACAGTCATCGGCTGAGGCAGATGCTTGGGTGTGAACAGAGTCAAAGTCGTGTGGACGCGGGGAACATAGAGACAGGCCAGAGACAGGGAGAACAGAGGAACAAGACACCAGCAGAGGGAGACAGACAGGACCATGATGAACCCCTGTCCTGTGGGCCCCCAATGCTGTCCTCCTCTTTCAGGGCCTGTGTCCCTACCTGCAGTAAGGACGGACTGCCTTCAGTCTCATATTTACATTAGTAACCAGTACCCCAGTGTAGGATCGGCTGGGTGCTGGCACCAGGCTCCTGAGTCCTGAGGTCTGTGGTCCCTCCCATATCCTGTCCTCTGACACAAGGCTTTACAGCTCTGCAGTGTATCCACACTACAGCGAACACTCAGCCAGGAGCGGGCCTGCTCACAGCTGTGTCCTCAGTACCTGGCACACAGTAGATTTTACCATAAACATCTATGGAGGGAGCGAATCAGTAACCAGATATGCAGAAAGGGTTTTAGGGGATGCTGGACGGAGACAGCGGCCCCGAAGCCTTGAGAACCCTCTTGCCCATTGCCTGCCAGGATATTGGTGACAATAGGGAATCCTCCACTGAGTTGACAGAGATCACCCAGGTGTGAGAAGGTCCCCTGAAAAGAACATCTCAGGACCACAATGTCCTCTATCCCTGACCGGGAGTCACTTCTCAGCTGTGTGACCTTGAGTTAGGCCCTTGCCCTGTGTGTCTCATTTCTGTCTTCTATGGGATGGTCCCGCCCATGGCAGTGTCTTGAGGATTGAGTGAGGTAATGTTTGTTTGCTGACAGTGGAAGTTATACAAGATTAACAACAACGTCAACACAGCACAGCAGGCTGCAATGCTGTGTTTCAGGGTAAGAAGGGGTGTGGGCATACCCTTGCCCTTCTCTGAAAGGCCCACTGGTCCCTCTGAGCCTGGGCCTCCTCCTGGAGACCCAGAGGGCTGCTGGGAACTCACTGCAAGGGTTACTGTACAGGCAGAGCCACAGACCAGGTGTGCAGCAGCTGTTCCTCGGGTGCCCTGCTGCTCTGACCTCCATGGGCTGCGGCAAGTGGCTGTTCCCTGACATCACATCCTCTCTCCGGGACCTCCCGCCTTGCTGGCTTTGCACAGCAGTGCAGGGCAGATACTCCAAAATGACAGTAGTGGCAGCTGTACTTGGCAGGGAGAGGGATGTGCTGTGGGATAGGGCAGGTCCTTCCCAGGTAAGATTCGCCCCCCACCACAGATCAAAGCCACCATGGGAAACCGCAGGCACCTAGCTCATGCACCCAGGGCCACCCAGTTTGCCCACTCTAAGCTGGAAATGCATCACAATGCCTAAGTCCAAGACCAATTCTGCACCTCGCAGAATAGGGAAACTGAGGCCTGGTCCCGGGTCAGGTTTTGAATACTCTGGACTCACAGAGCAGTCTGGCATTAGGGTGAGAGTTATTAGGACTCCCCCAAAGAGTAAACATCCAAAGGGTGCATCCAAGGTATCTCACCTTGAAGTTCCCGCTGTGTTCCTTGTACAGGGACTGGAAGAAACTCTCAGGGCTGGGCACTGGTACCCAGACCTTCTTCCATAGTCTGCAAAGAAAGGGGTGTGTAAAGCCCTTGTGGTCTGGCCTCTTTCCTGCAGAAGCAACAGCTTCTACTGCCAGGCGCCTTCCTGCCCACCCATCAGTAAAACGGAAGCAGCAGTTACCCTCACCCCCAAGCTTCCTGCAGATGCTCAAGTTCCTGCCCCTGGCATCTATTGTGGGCTAGGCGCACACTGCCCTCTGGGGCCTTGACTTCCTCATCTACCATGGTGGGGGTCGGGAGAACCCCAGGCTGCCACCAACTGAGACCAGCACCCTGGTCTCTCCGTTCCAGATTCTCTGTCTCTGTCTTTGAGTGTCTCACTGAAGGGGAGCAAAATGAGTGTGTGCAGAGCCTCGCTCTGTCACTTATCAAAGGACTCTGCATGCAGCAGCCTGCCACACTGCTGGTGCCAAGGTGGTACGTTCTGTTTTAAATCAGCAGCCTCCTTTCTTTCTGTGGCATGCAGAACGGAAGCCCAGTATGGAAAGCAGATCCCAGGCCACCTTTAAACAGAAACGAAGGAATGGGGAGGGTGAGTGATCACCCCTTGGGCCTCAAAGTTCACTCTCTGGACAAGGTCAGAGTCAAGATCCCCTCAAAGAACATGAAGTTTCTACCCCACCCTTGCCACACCACAGTTCTGTGACTTTGGGCAAGTAGCGTGGCTACTCTGTGTTTCTGTTTTCCCTGTATGAAGAGTGGGGGTGTCTGCAGTGTGCCAGGCTCACACAGCCGTCATGGAATGGGGACAGGAGCTCTGCCGTGTCTAGCACACGGAACATACGTGCTGTTACCTGCTATCACTGCTCTCACCAAGCCCCCTGCCCAGACAGAACAGGTCTTGGTTGGAGGGGCTGTGACCCAAGCTGACCCCTTCCTTCTCTGCCTCCCTGAGCCCCTGGCCTCACCTCCAAGGCAGGTCGATCTTCAGACCCAAGAAAATCAGGCCGGGAACCAAGACAACCAGAAGGAGCAGCAGCAGCAGCAGCAGGTGAGGGTCCAAGTCTGCCTCGAGCTCTGCAGAGAGAGCAAACCATGGGTCCATCAGAAAAGTCTCCCAGAAGAATGTGGGTGGGTGTACGGTGAATGGTCGGGTTGGGTGGAAGGTTGGGAGGAAGCTGGGGTTTGATCCCTTCCTCTGTCAAAAAACCCCTCCCCCAAAGGCTCCTGTGTCAGAGGTATGGTCCCAACCTGGATGCTACTGGAAGGTGGTAGGACCTTAGGACTCCGAGCCTAAGATGGTTAGGTCATTACAGATACACTAAAGGAATATTGGGACCCCAGCCCTTCCTCTGTCTTTGCTTCCTGATTACCATGAAGCAAACAGTGGCATCCACTGCCTGCAGTGCCACAGGGCCTTGCAGTCATGAGCCAAACCAGAAGCTAAAATAACCCTTCTGCTCCATCAAGGAATTTTATTCTCATCCCAGGCAAGTGATGTTATCTCTCTAAGCCTTAGCTTTCTCTTCTGTAAAATGGGGCCATGACTCCCCTTTCAGAGTTAGGAGTCAAATGCACCATCAGACGCAGCAGCTCCCCTGGCGAAGATGAGTGGCCGCATCCGGGGGTGGATAACAGAGCATGCAGGGAACCTCAGGCCTTGAGAAAGGCGCAGCAGGACAAGACTCAGTACCAGAGTAGGGTTTCCCACCAGCGTCACACTTACCCTCAGCCTGGGTCTGAAAGATGACAGGGTCACTCCACTCACTCCAGGTCCCCCTGAATAAAGTCCCTGGCTGGGGTGCTGCCCGCACCTGCAGCTGGTAGGTAGAGTCTTTGTGGAAATCTTCAGGGAGAAGGGAGACGTTATTTGAGTCCACCGAGATCAGCTTGGTCACCGGCCTCTGCCAAGATGGAAGGAACACGAAACTCTGTAGTCACCCAAGTCATCAATGGGGTGCAAAGTCCTTCCACTGGAACAACCAGGCAGACCCCTCAGGGAGCATGCATCCCTGACTAGAGCTACCTGGAAAAATAGTTCTCTCTGTAGCAGTGGACTCACCCCTAACTGACAATGTCCTGGGAGTAACCATGGGCACCCCTGCACATCATTAACCAGAAGCTCCATAGCCAGTGAGTCCCTGGGCTCTATGTCTCAGATGACATAGGACATCCTCAACATTGTACCTTTAGAAGTCCCTAAGTAAGCCATCTTATCAATGGACGGCTAGAGAAGCCTCCCAGGGAACATTCTAGGCAATTCCCTTTATGGAAATCTTCAACCAGGACCATTCTAATAGATGTATAATTCTAGAAGCTCAAGGCTCTGTCTAAACAGTGGACCATTCTGGAACCTTCCAGGTGTGCCCTCTTTAAGTAGCCTTCCCATTCAAAGCAAGTGCAATGCTCCAAACTTGCCCCACTGTAACTGAGGTAGGCTGTAGGGGAGAAGTCAAGGTGGAGACATAGAGGGGTATACTCTAGCCCAGGGAGGAGGTAGGAGAGGGTTGCATGCTGGAAGGAATTGCCAAGTCCTGTTCCTTGCCCCCGCTCTGCTGGGACCCGCCTGCATACCCCTACTGCCACACCCCATGCCCGGCTGCCTCACCATAGCATAGGGGTCTCTGAGGTTCCGATACTGCAGCTCATATTGTAGCTTGCCCCTCAGCACGTAGAAGGCAGGTTCTTCATAATAATCTGAATGCCAGGAGATATCATAACGTCCAGAGAAGGTCACGGTCACATTGAAAGGGGGGGCTGGCTTGACTTGGAGAAAGACCCAGAAAGATGAAACAGGGTAAGAACCTGCAGGAAGCAGAGGTTCCCCCTCCCCGACATTCTCCAAAGGCCCTGTGTGGCTTTGAACAAAGCAGTCCCTGGTCACAGCCCCTATTCCCGTGGACTAGATCTGGGTGAAGCATCTGTGGGGAAAGAGAGAGTACTCCCAGGCTTAAAGGCTGGAGCCAGGACTCGGGGCCCAGCACAGTCCAGCTAAGGAAAAGAAAAGCAAATGTTGGAAATCCAGACGGCTGAAGGGAGTTTCTTAAGATTTGATATTAGTACCTAATGTGGAAAATGCCTAAGCAAGGTGCCCCCTGGATTCTGTGATTTTCAGTTTCTCTCCTAAAGAAGGGGCCCCCTATCACATACAGGTGCATAAAAGTAAACAGATACACACTCTGCCATGCACCAAACTGCTGTCCCAGACCCCTCCTTTGCCCAGCCTAGGCTCTGGCAACAGCTGCAGCCATGTCCACTCTGGGGCCCTCCTAACCTAAGGCCCCTCCCATTCATCTGGGAGGATTCTGTGTTAGCTGACTGGTGCTCATGACTAGGAGCAAAATCCTAGGTCACACGAACAGGGTCTTTCCAAGATCAGAGTCAGGCAGACAGGAAGGGCTGAGCTGGGTCCTGCCCCACATCTTTCCAAGCCTGTGATGTTTCTCTTAGACATTTAGACCACATCCCATATCAAACCACGACCCCTTAGCTAAAAGCAGGGCATCTAAAATCTACTCTAAGGACAATAGATTTTGATGGCGTGAGAAGAGCTTGCTTTGAGGTCAGAGAAGGGTCCTGAGTCCTCCTCAGCTTGGGTTTGTGGTACTCACTGTTCTCTGCCAAGACAAAGCTGCCACACTCCTGGGAGCTGTTGCCAGAGTGGTCCATCATGTTGACAATGAAAACGTCATCGGCCATGAATCCGGACAAGGGCATGTGGCACGTATACCGCGCATGTGTGGCGTTGTGGCCCGACCTATGCAGGCTGCAAGAGGTTTCTTTGTCCTGTAGTTCCTCGTATTCATCTTGCCTTCAGGGACAGAGTGGCCAGTCATGAATGGGGACAGTGGAGCTCAGTGCCCGGGGCAGGGTAGGAACTTGAAGCATGAGGGTGAGAGGGGCTGGAGGTAGGGCTGAGGGTCATGGTCCAGTCCTTTCCCAGGGACAGTGACCTCTCTGCAGCACCTAGCATGCTCTGAGTTCAGATGCAGCTTGCGTACTTCAGAGGACCAGCCACTCGGTACCTTGACCAGGGCAGCAGCTCTCGGCTTTGGGAATTTGGGCCTAAACCTGTCTCTGTTGCTCACGGTGAGTGACCTACAGACTGTTGTCGTATGCTTTGGTCAGGAGGGGTAGTGGTAAATGGTGTAGTTCTTTAGCTCCCACTGGGCAGCAAAGATGGATTTTAGAGTATATATGTGAATTCACAGAAGTTTATTTTCTTCCTTCTGAACGTGTTCAGCGACTGAACATGGCCACCCTCCAGGACCAATGTGGATCTGCAGACTTACTTAGTTCTTTGCTGAATTTTCTGCCTACAAACCTTGCTGACTGACATTGTCCAACCCCCAGCCTGGACCACTGTAAGGCTGTCTCAAGATATCGCTTCCTCACCCAACATCTCTGAGCTCCATCTTGCTCATGCAGCAGCCAGAAGTGCCTTCAAAGCTCCCTAACACCAGCTGCCCTTCCCCAAGCTGCACAGTTGGCCCTCACACACCCACCAACTTCTTTGTTTACTGTTTTCCCTCACTCTGCTCAGGTCACAGGCAGCTGCTCAACTACACTCGTGGTTCATGCTCCCCCATGGCCTTCACACGTGCTGTGTTTGCTGCTTTGGGTGCTCTGGCCACGCCGGCTGACGACCACCCCAGCTGACCACCCCAGCTGACCACCCCAGCTGACCACCCCTGGCTCCACACCCTGCAGTCTTGAGTCTTGTTTGGCTCCTCAGCCCCCACAACATGTCTGGCAGGAACTTAATATCCTTAAAGTGAATGAAGGCATAAAGGACAAGCGGTCTCTATCCTAAGCAGCACGTGGGATTACGAGCACACTGGCTACGAGACTTCTGGCCAGCCGCTAAACCACTTTGAACTTCAGCATCCTCCTCTGGAACGTGGTAGCAATAATTTCAATATCATTTATGGTGAGGACACCCGGTGCTTAGAAGATCACTGGGGACTGCTGGTAACCAGGGCTGCTAACCTAGGCAGGTCTATGAGAGCAAGAGAGTATGACCCTTGGGGGTAACCCTGGGTGTGGTCAGTCTTTTTCCTATCCATGTGTTCCCAGTGAGTCCTGTGAACTCATTCTCACAGTCTTGGTGGGCGGGACAGGTCTTTGTTCTTAGTTAAACTTCCTCATGAGCAGGCCACAGGTCAACTCAGCCCCGGCTTCCTCCCATCCTGCCACCCTCTCTGAGTAGTTCCTCAGCTCGGGAGACCTGGCTACTCACCAGGTGAGAGTAAGTGTGTAGGGGTGGAGGGTCCATGTCTCCAGGACACAGGTGACGGTCCAGAGGTAGTCAGTGTAGCAGGTGAGATCCAGGCAGCCCCGAGCTGGAGGGATAGCAGAGAGGACATTTTGGGTGAGAGTCACTGGAAGGGCCTTGCTTGGCAAGCTGTCTGAGGCTGAGGACAAGTTTGGGTAGAGTCACAGGCTGGGATAAAAGCCTGGAACCCAGGGACCCTTGTCACTGGAATTCCTTGTGTGAACTCCAACATTTTAAGACTGGTCATGGTGATGAGGTTCTTCTAATGTGAAACTGGGCCACTGTCCATCATAGGGTCAGACACTCTGAACTCCCCATAGGCAGATGGACAGATCCCTGAGGCCAGGGAGTGTGGCACGGGTCATGGTCTGAGCCCACAGCCTCGACGAGGGGAGGGGTTTAGTGAGGACGGTGAAAGAGTGGGAGAGACATCTGCACTTGACAGTTCACCTGCCACTGTCAGTGACCCCATGGCTACCAAGATGTGGCCAAAATAAATGCCACAGCAGGGGCTGCTGGACGAGTCACCTCTACTCTCCCCTCCCCCAACACCCCAGCCATTTGTTTCACTTTCCAAATGACCAGGTGCGGCAGGCATGGGGCACATCTGGCTTCTGAGCATTTGGGGAACGGAGACAGGTGGATTGCTAGTTCAAGATCAGCCTGGGCTCCAGAGCCAGACCCTGTCTCAAAAGGGAAGAAAAAGTATCTAACTAATTACTAAATCAAAATGATGTAGAACTCTAGATATACTCTAGATATTGCTCCCTCTATCATGTTTGCAGCTATGGAGGATTTCTAGGGGGACAAAGAGAATAACTGAAGGGGGTTCGGGAAAAGGGAAATAAGTGGGGCAAGGCAGAGGGCCTAGGCTTAGCATCCAGTACACATGCGTAAGAAAACAATAAAATAAGATGCAGTCATTGTCCAAGTTTTGTTCAATGTTTGGCCAAAGGAGCAGAGCCATTTTGAATTTTGCTTTGTAAAACTGCACGCCAGCACCCGTATCTTCTCCCCAGACGCTAGAAATGCGCTTCCTAAAAGGCCTTCATCTTCAGTGGCTTCTTCCTTCTGCGTCCTGACCAATGAAGACCCTGAAACAGTGGACAACGTCTGGGTTCTAACCTAGATTCCAAGGCTAGACCTGGACTGTAGAGGACAGTACCAAGGCTCCAAGGGTAGCTGGCTTTCCTGGACTGCTGAGCTTTATTCCCTGGGAAGCAGCATCTCCCCAGCCATAACGCCTGGCAGACACTAGTCTACTAGTGAATTCCAGTGCAGTTCTTAGGTAGCCTCCACCAAAAGTTGTGGAAACAGCCAATGAGAGGGCTCAGTGGATAAAAGTGCTCACTGCCAAGTTTAACAAATTGATTCCCATCCATGAAATTCACACGGGGAAAGGTGAGAACCCTCTCCTGCAAGTTGGTCTCTTTGGCAACATACACAGCACATACATATAGGAGGGGAGAGGGGAGAGAAGGAGAAGGAGGGAGGGGAGAGGAGGAAGGGAAGGAAGGGGAGGGGAGAAGGGGAAGGAAGGAGGTAAGGGAAAGGAAGGGAAGGGAAAGGAAGGGAAGGGAGGGGAGGGGAGGAAGAGGGGAGAAGGGGAAGAAAGGAGGGAAGGGAAGGAAGGGAAGGGAAGGGAAGGGAAGGGAAGGGAAGAGAAGGGAAGGGAAGGGAAGAAGGGAAGGGAAGGGAACAGTATATAGTGCCAGGACCTGAAACCAGGACTTTGTGCTCACTAGACAAATACTACCAGTGAGCTGTACCCTAGCTTGAGATGGGACAAACCACTGGGACAGACAGAACAGATCCCACAGACTGCTGAGAGGTGGCTGCCAAGGCCAGAGTGAGTGAACAAGCCAGGCAACTCCCCACAACTGGACGGCACCCAGGCATCCCGTAGAGGTTACTATAGGGTGCAGGATGCAACAGCACCCTCACTAGGTGACCACAGCCCCAGGATTAAAATTGCCTCCCAGGTATCCCTAAGCCAGCTGTACAGGTCCCCAACCTTCACACCCATATTCGGGTGAGGTCAAGACTGTATCATGTAAGCTACCACATACAGCAGCCACTTGACACAGCAGCAGGCTGAGGCAGGAGGATTGGGACTACATCCTGAAACCTTGTCTCAAAAACTCACAAATGAATGAATGGATGAATGAATGAATGAATGAATGAATGAATGAGAGAACAAACAGCACAGCAGGTGCCTGGGGCCCTGCTAAAACTAGGATCTATGTGTCCCCTCAAATGCTCAGACCACAGAGCGTGTGAGGAGGTGAGCCCTCCAAGAGTAATAGAGTCATTAGAGTCCCCAGGTCTAGTGGTGTTAGGAGTGGCTGGAGAGGCTCCCACCACAAAAACTCCTTTCTGCCCCATCCTGGATCCCATCGTAAAAACACGAGATCCAACACCACACTGGAAGTAGATGCTCAACCGCGCTAACCATAGAGCCCACTGCACCGTGACCTTGTGCACCCAGCCCTGGGACTGTGAAAGACACACATGTGTCCATGTCTGTGGGTTTGTGAACATGCACATGTGAGTTGAAGACAGAGGTTTTTTAGGTAGACTCTCTCGCTCAGCCTGGAGCTCATCAATTTGGCTAAGCAGCCGGGCCAGCATGCTCCTGAGATCTGCCTCACCTCCCCAGGGCTGGGATAATAGATACACTCAACTGCTCCCTGTCCCTTCTGGGGTTCCGAAGCTAGAAGGACAAGCACATCACAGAAGCCATTGCCCTGTTCATGTCTTAGTGCCAGGCAGCCATCCCCAGGATCTCCACAGGGTCTGCACTCTCTCTGTCTCCTCCACTAATGGCAACGTAGCCAGGCTCCACAGGAGAAGTGAAAGGTGATGATCTAGCCTCAGTGTATGACAGGGCTCTGTTACCCAAACCCCACTCTTACACCCTGCTCCCAGTGCAGGCACTAAAGGGGTTTCCAGAGCAGGCAGGGTGTCGCCACCAGAAAGGGAAATCAGAAGCTGGGCCTGTTTCCTGAGGGAGCTATTTAAAGGACTGGATATTTCGGTAAAAACCAGAGCAAATATTGCTGAGTCTGCAGAAGGTCAAGTTCCCCTCACCAGGGTGGCCTGTACAGCCTCTGGCTTTTGTTGGAGAGAATGCCCTCAACAGGATTCTTGCAGCTCTGATGCCTCCCCCAGGGACGGTTACAAAGTTTGGCTCCTCTGTTCCCACCTCCTGTCCCTCCTACCTACTGAAGGTTCATGACCCAAGTGAGAGAGTCTTGCACAAAGAAGAAAGAAGGTTAGACCAAGGGCAGGACTTCCTTCCCATGATGGTGGCAAGCCTTTCTCTTTACTGGAGCCGTTTGGTTCCCTGGGTTCTGGTTAGTGGGAAACGGGGCATTTAGCTTTGGTGTCAAGTAGACAGAGGCTGTAGATTGTGGGTAGGTGGCCAGCGGCCATGACCAGGAGCCTTACGGCACCATGTGGTCTCTGCTCGGTTTTGTGGAAGGAGATGGGCCCATCCTCCACTGCAGCCATGGGGTTGAAACTTACCTCCCTGGAGGATCAGCAGGAGCAAGGGAGCAGCCAAGCCCTGTGGCATGCTGTGTCCCAGACCTGCAAGAGAAGTGTGTGGTATGTGAGATGAACCAGCTGGTCCCGGGCACTGAACAGCCTTCCCATGACAGGGTCTATCCCTGCTACATCAAAGGACCAGTCCAATGCTCACAAAGAAGCCCCCCTGTTGAATACTAAAGATAAGGTTAGCCTGCAGGGGTACTTCTTATTCTAAAAGGAAGCCCAGCTAGCCTACAGGGGCACACAAGAAAAGCAAGACCACCAAAGCTGCCTGGAGCCCCCCGACTGGCTGAGATGGACAAAGTCCCTTGTTGAACCAAGGACATGATGATACTGTGGGCAACAAACCATAGGTGGCCAACACCAGTCTCCTCCTGCCCCTTTCCTGTGGAAGTGCTAGCTCAGGGGGACTACATTCCCCATGCTCAAGGACCCCATGCAGGCTAGGTCCTCCAGTATGGAGCTGGGACCAGGGCCTTGAGGGAAGCTGGCCCATGCATAGATCAGGTCAGACCCATGGCTTTCCCAGACACCATTCCTGACCCCACAATAAGACAATGCTTCATCCGGGGTTCCCCTAGATCCAGCAGCACTGACTGGCCTACCTGACCACCATCAAAGAAACAGTAAAGGCCCAAGGTTCAGATAGCCAGCTGTGTGCTCCAGGCCAGTCTCTTGCTGTCTCTGAGCCTCATGAAATGAAGCAATGGAAGCCTGTCCAGAGCTTTGTAACAATTCAACCAGGTAATGTGCAAGAAAGCCGAGTGTAGGCTCTGACAGACTGCCGAGCTGACTGAGCTAGAGCAGAGTCTAGAAGCTTCTAGAACAGAACCCCAAGAACAATGTGCCCAAGGAGCTTCAAAAATGCCTCACTCTCAAAATTATGTATTTAATATTTTTCTATAAATGGCCTTAAACATTTGACTCCAACACCTGTCTAAAATTATCACTCACGTTTCCCCCCACCCCCCGCAAGGGTATATTTCCCCCTCTTTCCTGCCCTTTTCTCTTGAGATAGAGTCTTGACTATGTAACCAAGGCTGGTTTTGATCCTGTGAATGTGCTGCTTCTGCCTTTAGCCTTCTAATGATTCTAAAGTTAGTCATTGTTCTAACATCAGTATCAGAATAAAACGTTATGGGAAATGTCGACTTGCTGCTTTGAGTAACGCTGATCTTGGGTGGCCCTTGCCCACACAAATCTTGTGGTATAGTTTGACTGTGTCCCCCAACTTTGTATGTTAGAACCTGATGCCCAAACCACACTGAACAGAATGGGGAAGATTAGGATTAGCTGAGCTCAGGGGATGGGGCCCGTCCTGGCAGTAGGGAGTTTTAAATAGAGCATGGCGGGAACGGAACTCAGTGTTCTGCCTTTGCCTAAACCTATGGGAGTCTCCCTGGTTTCTGGTCCCAGCACTGACAAAGAAAGATGAGGGAGGAGGGGGGGCCGTGCTGATGTTACAGTCTGAAGAGGTGACCTCTGACCACAGAAGGGTGACTCTAAGCATGCCCGGCTCTACAGTGTCAAATTATGACCTCAGTCCCAGTCCAACAGAACTCTGTGTCACATCTCAGTCACCGGGAAAAACAGAAAGCCTCTGTCCTTTGTCAAGAGCCTCTCCTCCCGCTCTTCACACCATAGCTCCGCACAAGTCCCCGGCAGATAGCAGCTGCTCTGCCCGCCCGGATGAGCGACCCTCCTCATGACATGCCAAACTGCAGCCCCTCTGCATGGTCCACAGAGCAGGTACTGAGCCAGGCCTGGCCAAGCCAAGCACCTGCTTCCCCCAGGGTGCCCGTTGGAGACACTTTGGATTCAAGCCACAACAGCGGGGCTACAGTAAGAGCATGGATCAGGCTGTATCTGATGTCCACATCTAACCTTCCATTTACATGAGCCCAAACACCCGCCACTGCTGTTAGGTATATTTCTGTTGCTTTTTTCAAAGAGGCCTGGACTAGCAGAGTGGAGGAGGGGCCCAGTACTGGCAGCCAGCTGATTTCTGACCCTCCTGGCCACTGGCCTCAGCTGCCATCTCTGAAGTGGGCACATTCTCTATCCCCGAACCTCACAGTTGAGAGCGGCCAGCTGGGAGGTGGGTGTCAGGTGTGAACGCCAACTCCTGCTGCACCCCGGCAGCTGTCTGAATGGCCCACTGTTCTCATCTGCCTTCTGTTGCTGTGATAAACACCGTGACCAAGGGCAACCAGGGAATCAAGGCTTGGGGCTGGAGAGATGGCTCAGCGGTTAAGAGCATTGCCTGCTCTTCCAAAGGTCCTGAGTTCAATTCCCAGCAACCACAAGGTGGCTCACAACCATCTGTAATGAGGTCTGTAGACCTCATGTAGACAGACTATATACAGAATATTGTATACATAATAAATAAATAAATATTTTTAAGAAAAGGTTTTGTTTCATGTTACAGCTCTCGGGTCACACTCCGTCTGAGGGAAGTCAGGGCAGGAACCTGGAGGCAGGAGCCAATACAGAGGCCATGTAGGGATTATGCTTGCTGGCTTCCTCTCCTGGGACTTGTTCAGCCTGCTTTCTTATAGAGCCCAGGACCTGCCCAGAGATAGCACTACTCATGGGTTGAGCCCTCCCACGTCAACCATCAATCAATAAAATGCCCCACAGGCTGCCTACAGGCCAGTCTGATGGAGACACTCTCCAAACTGAGTTACCCTCTTCCTAAGTGACCCTAGCTTGTGGAAAGTTGACAAAAACCAGTCAGCACAGACACCCTCTCCCAAGTACCCCCACTGCGGTACTTTGCCACCTCTGTGCAAGCTGAACCCTCTTCCTGAGCCGCAGTCCTTCCAATCCTTAGCATGCTACCTTTGTGGAATGTTCTAGAACCCCTGTCGTTCACTCCTCCGCACATTTCCACGATGCTGTCTCTACTTACTGTCTTTCCCTTGCCGACCATTGCTTTACTTCAATAAACTTGTGTCAAAAGAAAATAGCACATTGTTACCACTGACAGATACCAGGATGAAGCCAAGAGGCTGTGGGCAGCAAGCATGCTGGGTAAGCACCCCGTGAAGCCGGTAGGGCCTCAGTTCAAACCCAGGCTGTGTCATCTCAGGCCGGTGGTTTAACTATTCCAAACCCAGGCCCTCATCTGTAAGTGCAGATGGGAAGGGTTCCAGGCTCTCAGACCCTTGGGATAACTTGGTGCTTAGGAAACAGTTGCAACAGCCAGTTGCAGGCTCACGGTAGATGTTACATGTTTTAATTGCATAGTGTGTGTGTGTGTGTGTGTGTGTGTGTGTGTGTGTAGACGCCAAAGCACACATGTGGATGTCAGAGGGCAACCTGAAAGAGGTGGGTCTCAGGTATTGAATTCGGGTCATCCAGTTGAGCACTTTCCCCGCTGTGCCATCTCATGGCTTACACCCAATTTTCTTAAACAAACCACAGCCAGCTTGCTGGGAAGCTAGCCCACCACTGTGCGATCTAACAGCTGACAGAAAGAAGGTGCAACCCAGTCCTGCCACCTCCCGAATACTCCAGGAATTGGTGATTCCCTTCTGTTTTTCTTTAAAAGTGGGGGGAGGAGTGTCAGAAATATTGAAGAAGGGCTAGCACGAAATGGAGATGCTGGCTCTCGACTTTGAGGTTTCTTTGACACTCCTGCTCTGTGACCTGAGGCCATGTCAACGGCTATTGCACTGAGGGAACAGTGACCTCCGGGCTGAAGGTATCCCTGTGACTCCTTCCTCACACTCTCAGCACCAAACGGGACTTCTCATCCCTCTGGCCTCTTGGCCTTGACTCCTCTCCTGGAATGCACATGAGGCTCACAAGAGAGGCGGTAGGTGTTCCAGGAGCTTCTGCAGACCCTCACAGTGGGAAGCAGACCACCTGAAACCTGTTGCACCCCAGTTACGTGTCCTTGGGCAGGTTACCTCGCCTCTCGAAATCTGTATTCTCCGTTACCAGCGGAGGTCAAGGGCCTTTGCTGAAGCTGATGGTGAGAGCTGACTGCATTGTTGCATGGAGGACCTATCAGCCTGCTCATCTGCCAAGGCCCCAGCGCTGGGGTTGGGATGATGCAGACTAATAGCTGACCACATTTCAGGAACTCAGAGGGAAGTGGGGAAGGTTTGGGGTAGCAAATGAGACTGATGCAAGGGCCACAGAGAACACAAGAGCTTAACCTCTCACCACGCAGAGAAATGCAAATAAAACCACAACGGCTTACCACGGACACTATCAGATCGACCAGGAGCTGAGACTCATATGGCATCACTCAGAATCTGATACAAGGACTGCTAATCATGGCCAGGGAGAGATGAAGATACCATTGATCCGGAAATTAGTTTGATTTTTTGGACCTAATTAATGCAGACAATGGCTTCCCTAGGAACCAGTCACACCATGCCTATGCTCACCAGCGTACAGGTAGCTATCAGAAGCCTCACCAGCCTTAATAGCGAGAAACTAGAAACAACCCGAGTCCTCATCAGCGGAGGGATGGAGGAAAACAAGTGGGGCTTTGCAGGCCAAACATGGGGATGAATCACTTCCCGTGGCCCACACCCACAGCAAAGCAGGGGATTCACAGGATGGAATGTGTACCGAAAAGATGGCAAGAAAGAATGTGAAGGATGACGTCAGCCCTGTCATTCTTGGAGGCCCATGGGAACAATTCTACAAGCTGTGTGGCTGGATGTCTGTTGTATGACATAAAGTAACCTGGAGAGAAGACAAGCATCACCTTCCCTTCCCTCCCCTCCCCTCCCCTC